TATGAATTATCATAGCTTATATTTCATCTGTTAAACCATGAATAAATAATTATTTTTTGTAGCTAGGAATGTATATAAAGGCTTAACAAATGGGAAAAAATTAATTGATTTTTTGTAGTAATTCTATATGCAAATATTTAGAAAAAATTCTCACTAATGTTTATTTTGCCCACAGCTTTTTTTTTTTATTTTGCCTACATGGTTACAAGAAAAGATAGAAAAACAAATTCATAAATTGTAAACAAATCTTATATGCACAGCTGGCCAAAATATTAAGGCCAATGAAAATAAAGAAAAAATTTGCATTGTTAGACTCAACCACTTATTTGAGCAGAGCTTCAAACTAAGAAAAGGAAAAATTAAAAACTGAATTATGTGCTTGTGGCAGAGAAATGTTTAGTAAGCAAGTCTAGCATACTATTTGCAAGTGTAATGTGTTCAATCCTCACTGGGGAGCCTAACATTTATAAATCTATGCCAGACTAACATAAGCATAGCAACTAAGAGCCTGCCTCTTGGACAGGGTTGTTACCAAATGGGGTAGCTGCAGCACAAAAAATTCCTCACCATGAAAATGGTGTAAACTAATTTTAGTGTGTAAACCTAACTTAAAGGTTGACCACCACCAATTCAAAACACTCTGACGATGGGCCTACTCTTAGTTGATTGAGTTGTATATTTCTCATTGGTTTTAGTGGTTGGCAATTAAGTCCAAATAAAGCCTGGATATTAAAAGCAGATTTTCAAGGTCAGTAGACCATCTTCACTTGGAAGAATGACCTTCAACTTCCTCCCTTCCAATTTGGTTTTGTACCAGAATAAGCTAAATTTAAAAAATATCAAAGAGAATGCTTCTCTAACCACTACAATCTTAATCTCTTTAAGTCTAGGCTCAACAGTTATCTATCCTACATATCCTCATAATATGCACTTCCTGCATCTTCCTTCCCACAATAACCTCTAACTTGAGTGTCTTGTTAGTTAATTCAGTAATTTACAAATATATGAATGTGTAGTTATTTACTGAGCACAGATTAACTATATTGATTGATTAACTATATAGATTGAACTATATTCCATGCATGGGACACCCAAAGAGAATCGAAATCTCCACTCAGATGTAATGATTCATGTGACCAGCTTACTATGACACCATGATGATTGATCACGATAGTTTCAGAATGTCTCAAAACAGTTTTTTTTTTGTTTTTAATTCCAGTTCTCTTTAGAACATACATGATCATTGTACTGATAAATCATTAGTTATCTCCCCTTAAAATCTAGGAGGTATAAAAAGCACCCTGTAATAACTGACAGTAGACAAGTAGTCAGAGTAAAGTGCAATAAAGCTTTGGTATAAGTTTATTCACTGGTTCTGTTTTAACTACAATCATAAAGTTTGTTAAAAGGATACTTTTGATTACATCCCTTTTTTGTAAATTCATAATTGAATGCCCTGCATTTTTAAGATGTAGGAAATCCTCCTGGCTCTCCACAGATACCTTATTTTATCATCTGCAATTTGATCTGATTTCTTGTTAAATATAGCAGAGTGGTTTCATGTTGTTCTCTACACATTTTTGAATTCAGAGTACTTCTTCTAGACCAGTGATTAACAAATTTATTTTTCTTTGGGTCACATTTTTAGAATGAATATTTTCCTTGCTCCTCACCAAATTTTATGTGATAAAAAGTACATTAAAAATAAAAAAAAACAGAGAGAGTGTTAAAGGGAGATAACTGTGAATTTGAAATCAGAACATTATCATCGATAACTCTTTTCCAATTCGCAGACCCTAGTTACTATATTTTTAATATGAAAAATTTCTCAGAGTTAACCTGTAGAAAAAGACAATATTTATAAAGGTAAAAGACAGTAGGAAAACTGTAATAGTTGCCGACGTGTTTCGTCTGATGTGGACTTTTTCAAGGCAAAAATGAAATGAATGTATTAAAAGTAACTATTAACAACAACTGGAAGAATACAATAGTGTTTTCTAAATTCTTCCAGTTGCTAAGGACATTTTGTTTTGTTGTTAATAGTTACTTTGTTTTAATACATTCATTTCGTTTTTGCCTTGAAAAAGTCCACATTGGACAAAACACATTGGCTAATATTACAGTTTTCCTATTGTCTTTTACCTTTATAAATATTCTAAATACTTGATATTATGCAAAAATGATAAAATTGGTCAATAATTATTTATAACTATTTATACTGGGACTCATGCATGCAATTACAAGTAATCCATAATATTTTGAAATCCTATTCATTTTTGGCATATAAATTTTAAAAAATTGTTTTTAAATCTTTGATTGTCTTTCAATCATTCCAGCTCACCTGCTATCCTTTTCTGCCAAACCTATGAGGAATACTTCAGCATTTGAGAACTATCATTTTAGACTAACTACCATCCAAGGCTAGAGATCCCAGTCTACCTTGCTATTTAACTCATAACTGAAGAGATAAGAAACTGATTCATGATTTTGCAAGAGTATTTGTGTGAAAGTAAATGGAACAGGCAGAACATGAACTCACTGACTCCATGTCAATAATTATTAGATTATTCAATTCACCAAGATAGTTAAAGTAAATTATATTTCTATCAGTTGAATAGTATTACTGACACAATTGAAATACTGTGTATTTTACAAGTACAGAAACGTACTGACCAGTTGGAATCAAGTAAGAGAAACAGGCTGCAATATAAAATGATTACTTTTCATTTTATCAGTTGCTTTATTTAAAACTGAACTCTACATAATGACTATTTACTAAGTTTAATCTGGCACAGTCACCAAATATGGAACCCACAGTGAAGATTCAACTTCCTAAAAAGTAGTAATGATCTCTTAAACAAGTTCATAAACTATGACCATATAAGTTTATTTTTAAATCATTTCACCTCAAGCAAGATGATAATGCCACTAAGGCAAAAGTGGTTACTGGAAGTGAAAGAAAATGAGTAAACTTTAGAAGGAATCAGAAACCCAATCCTAAACAGGAAACAAGGGATGAACCTATACTCCTGTTCAAAAGATGGGGATGGATTGTGAACAGGGTGATAGGTGAACCTACGGTTGAAAACGATAGGATTATTTACATATGAATTGGTACTTCTACCAGTGATCAGTGTATAGTATCTGTGTGCTCTGTAAAACACACACACACACACTCATGTAGAGTGGGTGCGATGGATAAATTGTCATCTAAATTAAGCAAACATGGCATCTCATTTTAACAGATATATTTACCAAAATTACGCAAAAATATCTTGAAATAATAAAGAGTAAATTTATTCAATAAAATCACCATTGGCTTCAACCATGGCCTCCAGATGACTTCAGAATCTCTTGAATATTTTCTGGATAGTCACCTTGTTTAAGTTGGTGAATGCTGCCATAATTCTTGTCTTCAGTTCATCTTTGGTGCTACAAGGAGTTTTGTTGGTCTCTCACTCAACTGCGCCCCACATTATAATAATCAAGGGGGTTGCATTCTGGGGAGTTAGGTGGCCAGATGTAATGGTTGATGTAATTGCAGAAATTGTCTGAGAGCCATAACTGGATTCTCCTGCTTGTCTGTCATGGTGCAGAGTCCTGTTGTCAGACATGGTGCCTTCCAGCAGCCACACAGGGCAGCACTACCTCCTCAAGGCACTTGATGTAGGCCTCTGTGTTGAGTCTGAGGCCCTGTGAAAATGAATGGAGGCATAACATCACCATCATTAATGATCACTTCAAACACCATGATGTTGACTGGATATTCCGAATCCTCTGCTCTGTCCTCAGATGTGACACCCAAACACTCTGAAATGTTAGTAATGGAGCTTCTGCCATGAATACCAAACATTACAGTATGTTGTTTCCAAATTTTTGGTGGAGTGAATTGTGTCATCGTGCTCTTTTTCTCATAGATGGTGTCCAACTGACACGATTATATTGTACAGTCAACAAAATCAAAAACAATGTGCACACACAAAATTAAAAATATAAAATTGTGACAAACAATTTACCAATTGCATCCTATATATATATATATATATATATATATATATAAACACACATTGCATTTTATATATGTGGATGGTAAGATGCCCATAATGTTAACATATAGATTTACTGAATGAATATAAGATATTGAATCTTAAAATAATAGAAATCATTTTTTCTTTAAAAGAAATATCACCTATTTTATGTATGTTTTTTTTAATCCATTAATGCCTCCCTTAAAATCTGGTATTATAGGCTTATAAAAAAACTAAAAAAAACTGAGACAAACTTGAAGTTTTGTGCCCACAAATAAAAACTGAGTGTCAAAAGGACAGTTTTCTCTTTGACACTGATATTATTTTAACTACCTTCACTCCTTGACAATATTTATTCTGTTAAAAAGTGATGATTAGAATTGTAATAAAACTAAACATATGATGAAAGTGAATTTATACATCATTTTTTGTTCTTGAGAATTGACAACAAAAATAATAAACACTTTTTATTATATTGTTTATTGGAATGGTTGGCAAAATATTGGCTAATTGCTGATTGATTCAAACTTTATAAAATAGTAAATAATAAGGGATATCCTTATAGTTGGTTCACATATGAATTTAGTAAATGTTTATAAATTTATGAATAAAAAATTGTTTTCATATTTATTTATTTTTAAATTGGTAAATGATAAATATTGCATTGCATTAGTTTTAATTTAATACATTACACCTGAATTCCTGTTTGAACCAGACTCTGATTCAAGATCAAAGGGCTGGAAAGCAACACTGATCCTAGATCAAAGGGCTGGAGAGTAATATTCTGAACTTAGATCAGAGGATCTGGGTGCAAAACTTTGATCCTAGAAAGTGTGCACAGATAATCTGATTCTAGGCAGACATGCTGATCCATACATAAATGAATCTTTTATTTCTTTTATGACTACTATGTTAGTTTTGAAATAATATATTAAGTATATTCTTGAAAGTGATAAAAAAATGAACTCTTACCTTTTTGTCGGTTTGAATGTATTTTGTTGTGGTTAAATAATAATCAGACTCTTTCTCCATCTTTTCATCCACTACTGGTTCCCCAAGTTCTTCAAAAAGATTACTTGAATTATTCTTGTCTCTCTCTTTGGTAAAGAAATTGTCTTTTTCTGAACTGTTTACTGTATGAAGTGGCAATGTAGACAAAAAGGAATTGCTTTCTTTTTGTTGAAAGGAAACTCTTTTCTTTTCTTTGTCACTTTTATTGAAAATATTTACTGCTGTGTCAAAATTTTGATTGGTTGATACTGGAATTTCATTGGCTTCTTCTTCTAATGGTTTTTGTATTTCTTTTAGGGAAACATCTTTGACATGACAAAAATCACTAGAAGCACCAATACCATTGAAACGTATACCTGTTTGGTTTACATTTCCTTTATTACGTTCATGAGATTCATTTGCAGAGTTTTTGTTAAATTTTGGAGTGTGCAATTCCTCAGAGATTTTAAAATCACTCGGATCCAAATGACTATCTACTGTTGTTTTATTAGATTCTTTTTCACAGTTTTCCAGGATGTTATTCTGAGGTTTACAAGTTGAATTACTTTTAGGAGTATTAAAAGATGAGGCTTTTTCTTTAGCGTCAGACTCAGAAGAATTTATGAATTGATTAGAAGCAGTTTCCTGGGAGCTTTTTTTCAGAATGGAATTCAAAGGCACATTTTTGTTTTTCAGTTTGCTTTCAAAATGTACTCTAGGGATCATCTGATTTGGCTGCGTTTCCATGGAAACTTGGCTGTCATCATCTTCTTCAAGGAAATTTTGTTGGTTGCTTATGGCTTTAGGCTGCTTTGATTCTTCCCCATTTGAATTTTGGTTTGCCTTCTTTTTGATCTGCTTATCTCCTCCACAAACTTTTGTACTGGGAGATTTTCTACCAATATTATTGTTGGTCTGAAAAATTAATGACATGTATCATATTTAGTTAATTGCACTGGTGATTGCAGTAAATCTTCCTTAGAAAGCATGTCTATCAACCATCATTAATTTTTTGCTAGTATTTCTTTAATCATAATTACTTTTGTTACAACTAATGCAATTGTCCCCTTTTCCTCAGAAAGCCTGATTGTCTATAAAAGTGTCTCTGCTGGTTAAAACTGCAAATGCCTATGGGTGACAGAAGGTTAAATCTAATCTCCATCTTCTCGCCTGGATCATCTGGTACCATATTTACTACTTTTATTTTTAGTAGTAACATTATCTTGATTTATGTTTTTTTGATTGATTAATTTGCTTTTCATGGCTTGTCAACATTTTGCAGGTTATTTTAAAGTTAGAAAATAATTTCAGATTACAATAATTTTTTACAGATAATAAAGATTTACTGATAACATTCCTAGTAATTAACCCATAGTTGGGGGAAGAAGAGATGGATCCATACCTTTAAGGTTATTTGCACATAAGTGAATATAACTAACCAACTATAATTGGAATTTACCTTTCCAATTTTCAATTCCGAGCTGTTATCCATTATACCACCTGCACATCCGAGCTTACAATACCAGGTATTCCTGAGAGGTCACCCATTTAGGTACTGACCAGGGTCAACATTGCTTAAATTCAGGGATAATACAAGAACCAGTGTTTTAACATGATATGGTTGCAAATCTTTTTATTTGGGTAAAAGATGAAAAAGGGATTAGAGTTCAAGTCTTGTCACCAGCTTATCCTTATTGGTGATACACACTATACAAAATTAGTATATGATAGTGTAAGACTCTGACAAGTAGCAATGAAAAGCACCTATAATTAAGTAGAAAGAAATACTAGTAAAAACAATTAATAATGGTTAACAATGTTTCATCTAATAAAGATTGAAAATAATATTTCTACTATTAATACAACCATTTCTTTCAGCAAGGTTTATTTTTTCATTCAGGTTATTTAAAGTCATATTCAAGACAAAGAATTAAAAAATGTTTCACTAATTGCTTTGAAAATGGCACCTGAACTACAGTTAACACATTGACTGCCAGTCACAAGATAACTCATTGTTGGTAGTTTTTATTATGATGCTGACTTCAAGTTATCTCATGCTTGGTATTTTCAGATACATTTTCATCTGCAGGCACCAACGAGTTTATTTGCAATTATATTTTTAGTGTGACAACAATGTTTAAAACTTCAGTTGAAGCCATAAATCCATAAATCAACACATAGAAATTTTTTATTGCCTATGTTGGTTATTACAAAGTTGTTGTTTGAAGTCAGATTTTGTAATTGACCTCTGGTCAACATAATCGTGTTAACGGATTAATATCACTCAATTGCTACTCTCATTCAATGCTTATATATCATACTCAAAAAAAAAAAAAATCAATGACATAAGTTTTAGATAAGATTTTTATCTCAGCAATTGATGTCATTATTCCAGACAATTATTTTAGTTGCCTAAAATCAGGAAAAGAGAAACCAAGCAATTTTAACTTGCTTGTAACATAATGCAAAAACATTTGCATATCTAAATAGCTTTTAGAAATAAAAAAAAGATATATTACATACCTTCAAAAATATACATTTATTATCTCCCCATCAATTTTTTTTAGCCATAACATAATATAAAAATAAGAAACATCATTTGAACTGTTGTCCTCATATTTATTGCCATATTCACAACATTTCAGCTGTTGTACACTCTGACCTTCTTAAGGTGATATATGTTGGAATTTCAAGCCAAACCCTTTATTTAGTCCAGGGGGCAGATTGTTCTAATTCCATGTGTCATGCCTTTTTGCATATCTCCTTTTTAGTTAATTCCCTTTAGTAACTCAACTCTTCAAGATTTTGTTCTCTTTATTGTGGCCAGGTATTGAACTCACAACTCTTTGGATCACTCAACCAACACTTTTATCCTCTGGTCCAAATGATGTAAATAGTTACAATATTTCATTTCAGAAATATAGACAGTTTCTTTTTTTTTAAAAGTTTTTGACATGACTTTTATTGAACAATATATTTATTGTTTTGTTGTGAACATATAATGGCATTCTCACCCAGTTTTCCACCAACCAGTCACTGAGCCCCTAACATTGTGTCATTAATTATTGTTCAAATCAGTGTGCATGAAAAACTGGTAATAGTTTACTAAGTGAGTAGGTAGGTGGAAGCTTGGGACAATTTCTGCCATGTCATACTAACAGCTCAGCTCTTCCCACAACAAACTCTCTGCTCATCTACACATCATATGCAGCTAGTAATACAAATGAGTGGCATCAGAACTACCAAGGGGACAGTCTGTCTTCTGCCAAAGTCAGACCAGAACTGACTCCTTCTGTCCTAACTGCAACAGGAAATCATAAATGTCCATCTTGTTTCCACTTGATCTCAAATGCTTTCTTTTACTTATTTGTCCTTTTCTTCCTCTTGGGTGCTGCTTAGAAGACCCAACTTTGAAACCCCAACCATCATCTATAAAATAGAAACACTTGAAATCAAGATAAAAATCACATGTTCCTCTTCTATGTAGGTATCCCAATTATAGTTTTTATATTGCTCCTCATCATTTGTTCCAGGTGATCCCAAACTATTTAATATTTCTCAGTAAAGAACTGTGCTAGGTGACTTTTTCAGCTTTCAAGGAAATTGAATTTTTTTTTAAATTTAGAGATTTTAGTAATCACCAGACTAAATTGTAATCCAAGATGCAATATCTGTTAGCTTAGCTTAGTTCAGAAGTATAGGCACTCAGTGAGAATTGAACTCACCACTGATAGTCAACAAGATCAGCTGATTATACTACAACATGTCCTGGTGAATTGAATGAAAATTCTTCAGTCAGGAACAATCACATTCTGGTCACCAAAAGAACATTCCATCTAACATTATTATGCTATTTCTCTTAATTCTAGACACTTTTCATAAACTGCTACTCATCTAATTGGGAACAGTACTTGTTCAATCAATCGTTTTGTTCACTTAAAGCTGCACATTGTAGAGGAATTCATTTAAATTCCATTATATAATTTTATTTATTTATTTTTTTATAAAAACTGGCCTTTGGCATAGTTAATGATTTATTTCTCTTGTCCCACAGTTTCTTGCATTTCACACTATTGTAAAGAATCCACTTTTCATTGTCTGCCATAGTTTCTTTCATCCTATTTAAATATTGAGTCATACATGTAAAATGCTGCTAATTTAGATTTTGCTTATGTGGAAGTTACACATCAAAATGACTAACATAACCAAATTGGTGTAAATGATCTTTAGTTATTGAATTGCTTATTTCAACTATGTTAGTTCTCTCTCTCTATGTATGGCATTGATTAAACAAGTCTAACCAATCATGAAATATCAGTCTGAAGGAAATTTCCAAAAACAAAGCTTTGCAAACAACTTAGATCAGTCATACTGCCTTCTACAGAAACTGCACAACTTTTTCAGTTACATTTTTACCTTTCTTAAAATAATAAAAAAGTATAACAGACCAAAAATGTTGTTTATCTTTTTTATAATTAAAATTAATTAAATCTAAATGCTCCTAATGCCATATCAAATACAGATCAAACTTTTTATATCACTCAATAATTTGACATTAATCTATGCAGTTTATTCATTTACACAAAAATATTTTGAAAAGTATTATTTATCTGTAATAGAATAACATGTTTAAATTTTTTAAACATCTTTAAAGCACTAAGTGATAGCCAAGTAGTTAAAGAAGCAAACAGTATACCACTGGATATACTGTTCAATTTCTAATATGCAAAACATCATAGGATAGTGCCTAGTATCTTAAAGAACCTTATTTAACCTGTCAAAGTACTTCAGTATGACATCAACTCTGCAAATCATCAGAAGACATCTGGAGAGATGTTAACCCATGCCATTTTGACAACTGTCCATAGCTCTCTGATATTTGTAGGTAAATGACCTTGTATGTGTATAGACCTCTCAATAACATCCCATAAATGCTTGATTGAACTCATTTCAGATGAACATGATGGCCAAAGCATTCATTGGAAGTCTTTGAAATTTGTGGGCAACTTGGGCTGGATGATATAGTGTATTATCCTGCTGGAATTAAGGATCATTTTTGGTGTACCTGGAATACATGAATGGGTTCAAATGGTCAAAAAGCAGTGTAGTCTATCAATCATCAATGACAGGTTTAGATGGACTGGCAGATCCAGCCTATGCTATGTGAATGCACTCCACATCATTATGGAACCACCACAACTGAGCTAAATGATCAGTTTGAAACCATGACTCATTTAATTATGCCACACATTGCCAGCCCTACAGTATTCAATTTGTGACATCACAAAATAAGGTAAGGTGCTGAGTCTGGTGTTGTGGTGTTAACAGGAGCATCCTGATGGGTCTTCTGTTTCCATATCTCATAGAAGCTAAAAAAACTGACTTGCTAGATATACATCTTGTACCTCCTGTTCTAATTGTGGATGTGATTTAAGCCAGTGTTGCTTGTTTGATAATTTTTTTTTTATACTGATGCTTGCCCAATACAAGGCTCAAGAGTCACTCAAGGTAGAATGTTGCTGAATGATGTTGTTGTATGAGTCTAAGAAGAGGAGGAAAAAAGTGCTGTTCATGAGGTTATCTAGGAGAGATAACGGTTAACTTTAAACTTGAAGAAGTTAAGATTGTTGTGATCTCTGGAGTCAGTTTCAAAAAGCAGTTACATCCAGATAGTTATAGAAAGCAGGCAGAAATCAAGCCAAATAAAGAAGAATAGTTTGAACTTAGAAAAGTATATTGATGGCCGTCTACTTTTGGATTTTATTTTGAAATACTTAAACTAGTTTTGGGCAGTAAAGACATTGTTTTATTTCTTTACATTTCCTAATTTCTGCAAGTAGTTTCAGTGGCTTCAAGGCTCAGTCTAAAGTAATGAATCAAAATTGCCAGAATCCCAATTCTTGTATATGTCATTA